ATTACTCCCCTTGAAGATGTGCCACACCAACTGGTCCCAGACAGTCCCTATGCACAATTTCTGGGTGCAGGGATTGCTAATACTCCCCTTGAAGATCTGCCACACCAACTGGTCCCAGACAGTCCCTATGCACAATTTCTGGGTGCAGGGATTGCTAATACTCCCCTTGAAGATCTGCCACACCAACTGGTCCCAGACAGTCCCCCTGCACTGACATAACTCCTGTTCTGGATCCGGAGAGGACCTCACGCTGAACAGCCAACAGGAAGTGTCCATGCCAGGCAGACAGTGACGTGGACACCCAAAAAAAAGGACCTTGCCTCAAGTAACCGGCAGAGAACACTCGGGCCTGGAGCATCGCATGTCTGCAGCGTTAGGTAAATAAAGTAATTTTGGTCAGTTTGGGGAGAGTTGGAAGGGGGGGATGGGACGGGGGTTCACGTTTTGCGCACAGCATGGGCTGTAATAAGGGAGCATAATCCCCAGTGTTTCTGTACTAGTCAGTGGCGTTTCACTAGAGTGCCCCTTTAATATAAAGATGTCATACTTGCACGAATGTCCTATATTCAGCACTTTGTACCCCTCCTTCCGCCATTCTCATCCGCTCCTGCTCATCCAGCTGCATTGCAATGGAAGATAGTTCCACGGGGCTGAAGTATTCTCCTTGAAGCAAGTTGTTGAGACAGTGCTGGGCACATAGCGAGCCCTCTTGCTGCAACAGAGGAAGGAAAACAATACATTGAAAGGGTCAGTCCACCCAAAAGTGATGCTGCAGTTACAAGTAGCGAGGGCCCAGTCACCTGCTGGAGTTCTACATTCAATGGGGGCTGAAGAGGGAAGGATGCCCACCTACCTCCTTCCCTGCTCACCTCAGGGTGTTCTCACTCCTACTGCTGCACGCTCCGCAATGTAATGTTAAATTTAACGATACAAGTGGCGCCATCAGGCGATCCAATTCACAAAACAACCGCCAGAATCTGGAATTTGAAGCTCAATTGAATTTGCCAACATAGATCTGCAGTCCGATATTGTTCCAGCAACCTCCAGTTTCCTATTAGAACAGTTTGTGCCGGGTGTCTATATAGGACTGTGCAGTCCAAATCGGCACCAAGTAGACCCAGCGGCCTCAGCACTTAGTAAAGGGCCGGGACAGACATGTCTCCTAACGTCACTTGCGATAAGGAGTGTGGGGCAGTTACTCAGCTCTGTCAGCACAGGGCACTGGAGGGGGAGCGCAGGAAGCAGCACATCAAGCAGGTACATCGAGGTGTTTCCAAGTAAAAGCAGAGCCACAGATCATGAGGGACAACACTTCAACCGGGCTTCAAATCTCACACACACAAAATCCATCCAAGGTGAGTCCAGCTCTGCCAAATGGACACAGGAGACCAGACACTGTTGGTTCCAGTAAGTAGCATGAGGTCGCCGGCTGAACTGTGCTTCCTGGGTAGTGCGTTCCAAGGGCGAACCCTCTTCCTCAGAGGGTCCTACCTGAACTGCCCCTTTGCTTGTTTTTTTGAAGAGGTCTCTGCCTGCTGCCTGGACTGAACCTTCCCCTGTATGCTGACCATGTCTCTGCCTGCTGCCTGGACTGAACCTTCCCCTGTATGCTGACCATGTCTCTGCCTGCTGCCTGGACTGAACCTTCCCCTGTATGCTGACCATGTCTCTGCCTGCTGCCTGGACTGAACCTTCCCCTGTATGCTGACCATGTCTCTGCCTGCTGCCTGGACTGAACCTTCCCCTGTATGCTGACCATGTCTCTGCCTGCTGCCTGGACTGAACCTTCCCCTGTATGCTGACCATGTCTCTGCCTGCTGCCTGGACTGAACCTTCCCCTGTATGCTGACCATGTCTCTGACTGCTGCCTGGACTGAACCTTCCCCTGTATGCTGACCATGTCTCTGCCTGCTGCCTGGACTGAACCTTCCCCTGTATGCTGACCATGTTTCTGCCTGCTTCCTGGGCTGACCCTCCGCCTGTATGCTGACCATGTCTCTGCCTGCTGCCTGGGCTGACCCTCCGCCTGTATGCTGACCATGTCTCTGCCTGCTGCCTGGGCTGACCCTCCGCCTGTATTCCGACCTCGCCTATGCCTCCCACCTGAACTGACTGTTTGTACTTCAGACCAGCAGGAGAAAAGGACAATGGTCCCCAATCAGTTACTTCCCACATATACTGCGGTGTGGCAACATTTAGCACCTCCTGCAGTAAAAGGCGTGGACTTCGAGGAGTAGTTGCCATAATTATGAGAGGTTGTCCAAAATCTGATGGAGAAGGACAGTTAGTTGCCAGAAAAACAGAAGCCCCGCCCCCGAATCAGGACACATTTACGTGGAGTCACGGAGGAGCAGCAGCTTCATTTGTGCAATTGCTTCACATAGCAGAGATTACCAAGGAGAGGTTTACACCCAACAGGCTCTGGAAGTTACACAACCCCTGGACTGGGCAGAGTGAGGAGCGCAGAGTGGTTGGACTCTCTGAAGGCGTTAGGTGAATGGATGACACAGGTTCACAATGTCCGCTGTGCGGGAGAAGGACCACGATGGCGAGTGTGTAAGATTCCACGTGGATCGGGAGGAGCAGCAAATCGACCATAGACAGCACAACGGCCAACATCAGAACCCACACCGAGCCCGGGAGCTGTATTATAGACCACACGCAGGAGGATACCCTCTCCTGACCCCGGGGAGCGGATAAGGCGCAAGCTGCAGGGATGTCTCTCTCTCAGCTGTGGTCAGGGATGTCTCTCTCTCCCAGTCTCAGCTGTGGTCAGGGACGTGTCTCTCTCCCAGTCTCAGTTGTGGTCAGGGACGTGTCTCTCTCCCAGTCTCAGCTGTGGTCAGGGACGTGTCTCTCTCCCAGTCTCAGCTGTGGTCAGGGATGTCTCTCTCTCCCAGTCTCAGCAGTGGTCAGGGATGTCTCTCTCTCCCAGTCTCAGCAGTGGTCAGGGATGTCTCCCTCTCCCTCAACTGTGGTCATGGATGTCTATCCCTCCCTCGTGTGTGGTAAGGCAGGTAGGCCCCGGCTGGGCGTAATAATAAGGGCACACACAGACCACTCAGTTCCCCCCTCACACTTCAGCCCCTTTCCCCGCTCCGCCATTCCCGGCTCCCTCCCCTCCCACTTACTTTCTCATGAAAGATCACCTCCATGTTTATTTGTCTCAGCAGGAGGACCCGCCCCTCCCGCACACGTCACGGCTGTGCCGGTAGTAAAGCGTCCAATCAATGTGCCAGTATCCTGTCACATGACAACGCTCCATCTTCGGGCCAGCTGACCAGATTAGAAGTCACATGACACAGAGAACGCTTGACGCCGCGAACGTCAGCGAGATGTATCAGCCATATTGGAAGCTGGCAACTGCCCACTGCTGGAGGGAAGCAAGCAATCATAAAATCCGCGCGGAATTGTGTCATATTATGATCCTGGCAGCTGATAACTTTGTGTACTGCGCTCTTATCAGTACCATCGTTCCCATTATGAGATGTAGGTTACTAGGACTAGAGAACCTGTGACTTTGCCTTAAATTTTCGGGGGCTATTCAAATTCTGGCATCCTGGAGCATTGCATTAAGGCAGCCTATTCAAATGAATGGACTAATAACGCACCAAAACATCCTATAAAATGGACATGCACCATATTTGGCAATGCAGGAAACCACAACCCACCATGGTGCATTAGTATTAAATCAATAGTACTGAGCTATGAAGGGAGTGCAGTAGTGAGTCCGCATTGTCCTCACCTGACCTCCTGCCAGCTTTCAGAAATGGCTATGTTTAAGTTCAAAAATACCTGGAGAGAGCTGGTGTGTGGGTGTGTGTGTGTGTGTCTGTGTGAAGCTGTCTGATAGTGGCAGTCAGGAACGGAGCAGTCTAGGGGAAGGGTACCTAGGTGGTGGTGAGCCGCTTTGTTTACAATTAAAGAACGACGGGGTGAGGAAAATGCACTCATCCCCATAGTTAGAGCCGACGTGTGACACTGTAGCGGTCACATGTTGGCTCTATAGATTGAGAACTGAGTGATTACAAACCGCTGATCACTCAATTCCCAATCACCCTGCAGAGAGTGGTGACTGTCAGTCAACGCTCCCCACAGGGATTCCACCTCCTCTCTCCAAAAGCCCACTATATGCTGAGTTTTGGGTCACAGGAGGACATTAGTAAATGTCCTCCTGTAACCCAAAAGCGATCTAAAGCCAAAAAAGGTTTGGCCTTAGTTAAACAGGAGCACACACAGCGGATCCTGTATAAAAAATAAACAAAACAGCCGACACATTGATACAGAAACACTGTCTGCGCTCCTACAACAGGCAAATAGGACTCCAGGCAATTTCAGGTGGTAATTAGATCTGTTCTAGCTGGAGCCCAGTTGCACAAAATAACAGAGCCTGAGCACAGCGGGCCACACACTGAGCATTTTTTTTAAAATATATGGTTATTTACCATCTTATAGACTTTTACTTAGAACAAAAACAACCAGAAGAATCATCAAAATCATATTTATTATTTATAACCCTTAGGCTGGTTCCAAAATACACGCTTTATACAGAAATCCACACATGTGGCTGCACTGTAGACCTCGACAGGTCGCCATCTCTCTTCATCTCTACGAAGCATTATTCTTTGCCTCTTGCTCCCTTCAGAGAGAAAAATAAAAGAGAGTTGTAATTGTAAATAATGTTTAATATCTCTCCCTCTCTCTCTATCAGAAAAAGATGTAAAAACTGTGTTGTGAAACAATGATTGTCTCCTGCCCTGCATGTGCAAAGAACATACCGTATTTTGGGCTCCATAAGGCGCACCGGACCATAGGACGCAGGGAGGTTCTGTGACAGCAGCTGTAGTTTAGTGACTACAGCGCCACGGTCTCAGTGATCACACAGAGCGTGACATTCTTCGTCTGCTCTACGGGCTCTATGGTGAGCTCCTATGCCGTGGTCATGGGTCCCCCAGAGGAGCGGGGGACCCCGAAAACCACGGCGGGGGGG